CCTATTTTTCTTTTGATGGATAATTTTCTTTACCGATTTTCTACGTTGAGCGAAAAACTGAAGAAAATCTATCGACTAGAAGTTTGAATTTTTGCAAAATGCACTATCGAATTCCGTTTTTTTCAGCTCGTCGCTCATCTGTGCGACGGTTTCAAATGCCTCTTGAAGGGTTAAGTTTTGTGAAAACGTTGGTAACATTTGGAATTATTTACGAAACAGACCTACTTCTTCAAAATATATCTAAGATCGTTTGCCTCCGTTGACTCACCTTCGATATTTTTAACTATAAACCCCTGTAGACAATGCTGAATTACGTGCGCCAGTTTTTCAAAATCAGGGTAGATTTCCACACGCTTTATTTCTGAAAGGAAGTCGATGATCCCCAATTTTTTTTCATTTCTGACACAAGTAACTCCTTATCTGACCGCAGTAAAAATTTAAAAAAATCTATCGACTGGAAAATTTTAACACAACGTAAAATGTAAACACAACGGACTTCTCTACGGTCGAACTCGAAATGAATGATGAAAGATTGATTTATTTGACATTAAATTAAGGTTAGGAGTATCAGGAAGTCGCTTGAATCATCCCGTAAATGGGGGAGCTTGCAAAGTCCAAAATCTTCTGCAACCATTTGAGGTAGGTAATTATCATTTACTTGTCATTTCCTCAGCTAATAACCGGAAAAACTACCCGCAGTTTCACAGTTTAACGGTCTTTTATAGCATGTCGAAAGATGGCATGTCGAAAGATGGTTGAAAGATGTCGCGTATGCACGTAACACTGAAAGCGGGTGTAAAACACGGGAATAAGCGCGTGTCCCCGCTATTCACTCAATGCGCGTCTAGTTGCTGCTAGGACTTGCTAGCGAAATGCCGAAATACAGTGCTCGTCGGGCCTTACTTTGGCAATCAATTGCGAAAAGTAAAAAGAGAAGACTCGCATTACATACAGTTCTGAGAAAAGTGTATCAGAGAAGACAGCTATTGCTCCAAGTGGCATGCTTAACCGTGCTTCTGTTAGTGAACAACAATGGAGCAGCGATCTTGAGCAGCGGTTTTGATGTCAGCAATGACTTTCGATAGCTCGCCATTCCCGGTAGCGAAATTGTCTTTGTACAGCGCATTCTCGTCAGGAAGGCGGGGAAACAGCGTTTGGCAGATGGGGGAGTATATATTTTTGTGACGTTTGCCCAGTCCATCAAATTTGAATCAATTATTTTGTCATTTGCATGATTTATGAATTGAGTTCAGCCCATGTTTAGAACGGCGTTTGCTGAAACGCCGAACCACTGTCGCATTATCCGACTTGGTAAGTCGAACTTATGTTAGAGTCGAACCATTAATTTGAGTCGAATTTAATTGCGGCAAACGTCGCACCATTCGTGCGCCTATTTCAAAATTAATTGGTTCGACGAATTAAGTTCGACTAAGATTCGACGTTTACCCTAGGCCTAAGTCGACTCTTTGTCGCACCTATTTTTAATTTACTCCACGCGACTTGAATTCGACGTTTGCCCTAGGCCTAAAATCAATTATAACTTTTAGGCAAACAAGCAATTACCTAGCCTTTTGTTGTTGTTGTTGTTTTTTTTTTGTAAAAAGGCACTGATCCTTTGTGGAAATCCGCTATGGCGGCGGATTAAGTCGATGTGTGCTTTTTGACGCTTTATTTCTTTAGAAAGCTACGCATTCTAGCATTCTGTTGCTAGTTTTTGGCCTAATTTTGACAATTTTCAATGCATTGACAGGATGATTTCTATTCACTTCAGTTTACTCCAATCTAAATCCACCATTAAACGTACGAACAGCGAACGGGAAACGTCTAACCTCAAACCGCAGTTGGACGTTTGGGGTACACTTAGATTTAAAGGTCTCTAATGACAATCACTTTCGACTTCGGCTATCGCCTCTTGGATCCACAGCTACTTTGACAATGCTCTGACGAAATTCATGATCAATAACAGGGCAGACGTATTAAAAACTAACGTCAATTTGTTGTTATGCAAACGGTTTATAGGAAAAGCAACATAACCTTATTCAAATGCAAGATAATAACTGTAATCAATCTTGTCGACAGTTGAGTTGACGCGGAGTCATGTTTGGCCAGAATACGTCCGAGTCTAAACTGGTTGATTAAGGAAAAAGAAATGATACAACCCCACTTGCTCTGCAGCAACCTTGGTTTTGGTCACTACCAACCTTAATGTTTACGATTTTCTATCTCCTGACAGAAATAGGGCATGGGGCTCACAAGAGACTCGAGGTGACGCAAGAACGCGATTCATTGCTTGCGTGGACGAATTACGCGGGCGCTTTCCTCGCGCGTGCGTCCTAGGTAGGCAGCGTGAAGGACCAGACCAAGCTACATTTTATAAAGCTAAATGAAGTTTCTTTACTGAATTTAAGACCCTATTTCCCTTGTAGGGAAAAGGACACGATGATGGATGACTGAATTGAATTCATTAAGTTAGGGTCAACATCACAAAGGCCACGTTTAAACTTCAATTCTTGTTCGGTGGTTTGCTAGCAAATACAGCAAAATGTAACTGCCAAGAATCTGTCTTAAAGGTTGACAAAAAATCACTCTGATATGCTTTCATTTAACATTGCTCAACTCCAATCCTAAGGTTTGCAAAGAAACCTGATCAATGCTAATCAATGATTAAAAGACGATCGGGTTTCAACCTTCATGTTAAGAGTGTTTTCATGCTAATTTAAGTAACGTTTGCCCTAATCATAACCATTGTTGCTTTAGCTTGGTTTACCGTTAGTTCTGTTGTGTTTCTACAGCTAACCAAACAATTATTTGAAGGCTCCTTTACGTTTGAAGACAATTTTTCAACTTGCCAAAGATGATATAATATATTACAACTCGGCTCTTTGAAGTGACGTGAAAATGAAGAAAAATCCGCTGAAAACTAGTCTTCCAAATCAGAACCAACAGAACCAAAGGGTGAATCACCCAGACTCAATCCCCCCAAGGCGACAAACAGCCAGAAACGCAATCAAAATGGAACATACGTTCTGAAATTAAAGGGCCTGTTGCACTTTACTACGCATGTGCGGCGATTTGATGTTTGACACAACCGAACTATTTTCAAAGTTGGCTTTGGTAAGGAAAATCCCTTTCCATCCATCATGCGAGAACTGTGAAAGGTGTTCAACAAATTATGTCATTCGCGGAGGATTTTCACAGCACATTTTGTATTTGTGTGAAGATGATGACCGTCGAGAGATTTCATCATTTTTGAGGCAGTTATACGAGGTGGTTGTTCGTTCCATACAAAGGATCAAACGGACAACGAGGTTTCCAAAGACAAAGCTTATCATAAAAAGCATCACGAAAAAACCGGAAGCTATCCCAAGTGGTGCATGGTTCTAAGTCGTACAACTACTACTGAAAAACATTCCTGTGGACCTGCCGATGTCAATCAAACTTGAACATGCGTATTATCGTGACACAGGCCCTTTAGAGTTGTCACTTATCCACAGTAAGCTTACAGTGGCGTTAGAGGTAAATATGTATGACCATAACTGGCAGCACAACCGTGATTGGCCGAGTAGTTCACTCTACAGATAGGCCAAAATTATGACTAACACAATAAACCTCAGCACGAGGCTCTCGGGAAATAAACCCCACAAACTCTGTAGTTATTCCCCACAGCCTCGTACTGAGGTCTATTGATTTAAGCTAGATTTTAAAGGGGCTAGGTCACACAATTTTAGGCAATTTCAGCACTGATCAAATGGTCATAGAATTAACTAAAATATCACAGAAACGGCTCAAAACTATAGAAGATCTCAAACAAAACACAGGAAAGCCAAGAAGGGACATGAATGGACAAAACTGGAGAGGATTAAAATGGGTTGTATTTGGGTAAATTTAAAAAACGTTGGCCCACCTTTTTCCAAATTTATATCAGTTTATATCAAAATGTCATTTACACAGCTGGAAAATCATTCTCAGTTGTTATGTAGCCGTAATTTTGCAAATGAAAGACTCTTGCTCTGCCAATTTGACGTTTAGAGCTCATAATTAACAAAATTAAACAAAATTACCTAAAATAGCGTGACCTAGCCCCTTTAATATATCGAAATTGGTCTATTCAACAGATTATTCCACAAACGCCCCCCCCCCACCCCCTCCATTAAGGATACTTCATTGTTTTTGCGAACTTGCACGCTAAGCATGAAACCACGAAGAGAGGAATGAGGAGGAAATGCTGAAAACTATGAAAAACTGTCTTCACCTACAACTAACCCTGTGTAAACCAAGGCACAGACATCCCAACCAGGGAAAATTTAGAAAAATTTCAATGAAAATAAAAATTTTGAAGGCTTCTATTCTTCTTGTCTTAGCTTATGCAACTTTGTCACTAATTTAATCAGCTCTAATTTTAAGCAAAGGGAGCTGTTTCCTTAAAATTTGAAAACAGCGTTTTAACTCTGAAAATGTATCAAATATTTTCCGTCTAAGCTACGCTGGATGAATTTGAAAACGCAACAAACACCGGTCATTTTGGATTTGAGTTTGAGGAAAAAGTGGACAGGGACATCTCAAGTTTTGTCGTGACGCCATCGTTTTCAAAAAAAGCCCAGTTTTCAAAATGTTTTCTGTCCAATCCAAAACCGAAAAAAAGCTGCGTTTTCGAAATGTTTTCTGTCCAACCCAAAACCGAAATAAAGTTGCGTTTTTAAAATGGTTTCCGTCCAACCCAAAACCGAAATAAAGTTGCGTTTTTAAAATGTTTTTCGTCCAACCCAAAACCGAAATAAAGTTGAGTTTTTAAAATGTTTTCCGTCCAACCCAAAACCGAAAAAAAGTTGCGATCTGGTCAATGTTTTCCGTCCAACCCAAAACCGAAATAAAGTTGCGTTTTCGAAATGTTTTCCGTCCAACGCAAAACCGAAATAAAGCTGTGTTTTCGAAATGTTTTCTGTCCAACCCAAAACCGAAATAAAGCTGCGTTTTCGAAATGTTTTCTGTCCAACCCAAAGCCGAAATAAAGCTGCGTTTTCAAAATGTTTCCCTCCCAGCCCAAAACCGAAATAAAGCTGCGTTTTCGAAGTGTATTCCGTCCAACCCAAAACCGAAATAATGAAAACCGAAATAAAGCTGCGTTTTCGAAATGTATTCCGTCCAACCCAAAACCGAAATAATGAAAACCGAAGTAAAGCTGCGTTTTCAAATTTCTCCGGCGTAGTGTGGACGGGGCCTAACATTAAAGTAACCACGAAGCCAAAAGATGTCTAACGAACCAATCACTACTCAAAGCAGAGACACGTGACCGATGGCGGCAAGCGCAGTGTTTGCTTCTGTATCTGGTCTGTGCGACAACATCTCTGCTCCGATTTTCCAGAACAGTTTTACGGAACAGTTAATCATATTGAAGCACCATGCCATGTAAGCCTACTCAGAGTCAGTTTAATCAAGTGCCCGCCGTTCGGAGATCCTCGGCTGATTCCAGGTCCTCTTCGGAATCTCCTCTGTAACCAAGATCACCGTCCGACGTAACGGCACCACCTAGAGCCGTCATCTGGTCTTTCAAGCCCTTCAGAGTACCCGAACGACTGCGATCATTCCCGGCTTCTGCAGCTGGTCGAGGTGTACCATCATCCCTCACTTCTGCCCCTTCAGCTTCCTCCTCATACTCAACCTCGGTGTCAGAGTTCACGGGAGTAATTGTCTCATCTGCAGTACTGTCACCTAAAGCAACGTCAGTGTCCAAAGAAGTGGAACTGCCTCCTGGCGGGGCGGTCATGTAAGCTGCAGTGTCTGTGTCAGAGGTGACATCTTCCCTAGCACTGATGAATGACTCTGCATCACTGTCCTGCTCAGGACTTTCTGCGTTGGCGTCGTGTTGGTCTACTTGTTCGCCGTCTTCTTCTTCTTCATCTATGACATCGTTTTTGGCGATATCCAAGAGGGAACCCGACGGAGACATATCGCCACCGCTTCCTTCAGACCTACCTCGGCTTATAAAGTTCCCACTCTGTTCCAAGCCTTCGTTTCTCCCAGAGGTGCTTGCTGAAGCTGATCTATCAGCATTTTTTGCACCAGAAACCAAACTACCCGAGTCTAAGGCTTCAAAGCTTACATGGGGTCCGCTCTCTAGCTGACTGAAAGTTTTCTTTATTGTATAATGTTCCGCAACAGGCATCCCTTTTATGGATTCAAAGTTAATTTCGTATTTCACAATTGGCTTCTCGTCGGATGGAGACATGTGCGATGCTGACTTCTCTTCAACGCGTGACGAGGAAAATTCTTTTGTCGTTTCACGTCCGTTGCTTTTCGTGGCACTTCGGTGTTCTTCCGATGCAACTACGTGACGCGTCAATGTTGTACTTTCATTGGAAGCTTTGAAAGCGTGATTTTCCAGATCAAATGGGGATTTCCCTTGAAGTTGCTCGACATTTGGTAACACCGATACAATAACGTTATTGGTGTCACACTCAGGAAGTGTCACGGTACTAACATAGGACTGCTTGGAAGAAACCATCTGCCGGTGAACAGTACTGGTCACTGTCTTCACGGAGCTCTCGCTTCGTTCCGATACATGACGGCTGCCGCTAAAGGTCGCTGCCATCGTTCTCCTAGACGAAGCTGCAATATTAAGACTGCTGCGGTATGCTGTCTTCTCCTGGCTGTTGGAATGCAATTCTTCTACGTTGTGCTCGGCAGAGCTTGACACTTCAGGCTGTGACTGCACTCCACTCTCTGAAACAGCTTTGATTCCTTGCTCCTGCACAACACTGAGGGATGCTCGCCCTTCATCAAGCACGTCAGGTGACGAATTAGCGGGGGCTGCCATGTAATCTCGAGAAATGCTCTTCACTACGGCCGCCTTCACTGGAGAGTCACTTTCAGCGACTACGGGTCCGTGCAATTCAGGACAGCTGTCAGTCACATCTTGCAGGTCAGTACTGGCAGGTTTGGAAAGTGCATCACTGCTGTTTTCTCCTTGCATGGTCTTCGTAACGCGTTGAGGTGTTTCTCCGTTGATTTCTTCATTATCTGCTCCTGGTGGAGTAAGTTCTTGCTGCTCAGCACTGCTTTGTTTGATTTCCACTGGTGTCTCTTGCAATGCATCTTGCACTAGCTCTGAAACTAGTAGCAACATACTTAATGAATGTCAATTCCAACACTTAGATAATGCTCCTTCACGATTGCTGTAGCAATTCCTTAACAGATCCAAAGTTCGAAATGAAAGCGTGATTATTCTCTCAATGATTGAATAACAACTAGTTACTTTTAATGGAGGCGCAGTGGCCTCATAGTTAGTGCGCTCGACTCTGGCTAGAGTGGTCTGGGTTCCAGCCCTGGCTGGGGACATTGTGTTGTGTTCTTGGGCAAGACACTTTCCCACAGTGCCTCTCTCTACCCAGGTGTATAAATGGGTGCCGGCAAATTTAATGCTGGGGGTAACCCTGGGATGGACTAGCATCCCATCCAGGGGGGAGTAGAAATACTCCTAGTCGCTTCATGCTACAGAAACTTGGATAAGCTCCGGCCTGATGGGCCACTTGGCTCGTATGTAGACTTTACCTACTCTTAATGGAATCTTAATTTCAAATGCTACGATTCTTACCCAGTTCTCGCTCATCAGCTGTACATGACACATCCCGATATGCAAACTGTTTTCTTATCATTTCTTCATTGATATTCACATCCTGAATATTAAAGAGAGAGGTTCCCTTAGATTCAGTAGACATCGATCACTGTCGCGAATTGACAATTACAATCTTACAGCCTCTTGTAGAACACAGGATAAGGGTGTCAAATGGTTCAGTAAATATTTCTATATTTATTATTACTTATTTACAAAACAGACACTATTCAAAATAACACAAGCACACTAATAGAAAGCTAACACTACTTGCGGCATGCTACCTGGAGTACAGTACAGTTGTAATGTTCCAATAATTTCAAATTAGTTTAACTTAAGAGTTGTTCAGAGGATTATGCCATGCAGCCTGCTTGCTGCCCATGTGGCTATTGGGTCCTAGCTATTTAAATATGCATTTTGCTTAGCAATGGCTAGCCTGTGAACACAGTTGTCTTTCATCTAACGAGACTGCTACAGTCAATGCTCATTCATTCAATCAAACTGATATGGATATGACAGAGAAGCAAACACAAGGAGTTGGCAGCTTAAGATTAACTGTCTATGAGTACAGTTAAGTTTTAAGGGAGTCGTAATTTTCATGCATGTCATGCAATCGTTCCCACCTGACTTGACTAACCATGCTTTAAGTATTGTTGGGTGGGACTGAAGACCAAGTATATATCTACTGAAACACATCAAGCATGCGTGCAAGGTGTCCAGGTATGTTATCAAAGAAAGAAAATAACAGCACAGATTGTGAACGTATATCCTCAATAAATACACAGTCACATATCATAAACATGTTCATAGTTTCTTACTGTCTGTCCAGTAGTGTCAATCAATTCAAGACAAGGTATGTCCCCATCATATTTCACCACTCGTGCCATCACAGAAACCCACTGAGCACAGTGGCTGAGCTGGTCAAACTCGTCAATTGCGTCTTTACTCCACTCACCAACTAAACAACGTGATAAGGAGGGAGCAATACTACCATTACTCAAGGCCCACCAAAATCAAAATTGATGATGAGAATATTGAAATAATCACCTGGGGGAAATGTCTACAGACAATTCAACATTCTTAGAAATCAAGTAAATCATGAAATTAAAAAATGTTTACCAATAATTATTATTAAAAAGAAAAATGTGGTTGTTCCAGCTTGGTGGTTACATGAGAAAGAGATAAGAAATCTGTTTCAGGAAGTGGCATGCACCTAATGATGGTATCCAGCAGAAAATATTTTGGATTTGAGACAACTACGTTCTAGTTACTTGAATGATATAAAAGTATATTAAAGGGACACCACAATGTACTATGTCAATTATTGTACACCATTTCTGGTCAAGACAGGGTTTTAAAATAATTACTGGGTTCCTCACTCATACATGAGAAGCTCCTAGAACTCCACCAAGAAGAACTTTATAAAGTGAGCTGTTTTCAGGGAGAGCAAACTGTAATTTGTTTTTAGCAATTTTTCCAAGACAAGACAAGTTTCAATCTTGTGCATGCTTAGCCCATTGTAACACTGCCCCTTATAACACTGTCTTCAGTGCCCTTGTATAGACCTTTTTAACAAAACTAGACAATTATATTTAGGCTTCCACCAATGGAATTGAGTCTTTCACTCTGTAGAAATCCCATACACAAGCTGTACATACACAAAATGATGGAGGGACAGTTAAGTCCAAAATGAACCTTAAAAAAACACTAATGAGCATATAATTTTCATGTACCTTTAGGTTTCACATCAGCCAAATAGCACTCAATAGCTTGAAATGGAATTCTGTTGTGTTCCTGTCTATAAACACAGTCAGTTGTAATAAGTAGTATATAAAATCGACAATGCTGATTGTAACATAACCGACATGGAAAGAAATGAAGAGACTTTTTTGGAAATACTGCTGATTCAGAATACAGTGCACTTAGCATGAGACTTGCACTGTTCAATTTTCAGAAATATGAAAATTGGCCTCCTTTTGTTTTCATAACAACAAAAAGTGAATTTATTTCCACATGAAGACTTAAAAACATAACACTGGATTTAAACCACTGCTCATAAAGTCCCTGCGACTACTCCTAGTCCCAGCAACTAGTCCCTGCAACTAGTCCCCTGAAGACTTTAAACGAAGGGACTGGTCACAGGGACTTGTCCAACAAACAGTTCACACAAGAGCATTTTGAGGAACAAGTCGCATGGACTTGTCCCAAAAATTCAAACCAGTCTGAATTTGTGGGACTAGTTGCAGGGACCAAACTTTGGTCCCTGCGACTAGATTTTGAAGCAAAAATGACCAGTTCACCCAATGGGACTTGTCCCCACGACTTGTTGCAGGGACTAGTTGCAAGGACTAGTCCCCTTATGTGTGCTGACCTTCAATACAAGGAAAAACAACCATAAAGTACACCTTTCCTGCAGAAACAAAGTTGTATCTAGTAAGTACTGCACTTACTTAAGTTCTCTTAATTTTTCCTTGGAAATCTTCCCAGAGTCTCCAAAATCCACATAATACAAATCCACCATGCCATCCTTGTTGATTTCCAAAATACGCGCCCTGTACCAAGAGGAATCATACTCAAATGGTGCACAGCAGATATCTCCGACCTTAAAAGCATTGAGGACAGAATGTGATTCTGAGGAAGCGTACAAGAATGTCAAGTCATTTGTTAGTTTATCCAGATCAGGAGAATCCTTTGTTAGCAGCTGTACCCAAAAATGTCCTGGATTGTCAATTGCTGACACAAATACTGCAAAGAAGTCATTTGTCTTTGGAAACTGTACAACACCTGTTATTGGAGAAGCTGAAAGAGAGATGAGAAGTAATTAATTGTACAAAGATACATGCGTAGTATAACAGTAAGTTGTCAGCTGCTAAGGACAATGTTCACTAAACTGAAAAGAACATCTGAAGGCAATGTAGTACAACTTTACTCACCAAGAGCAGTGTCTAATTTCCTAGGTGCACGTCTGTTTCGTGGCATTCCAATGTCCCCCCTTCGAGCGCGGATTTCATTATCTTCTGCGATCTTCTCATCTAGTAGTCCCTTAGCACTGGCAATCTGGTCATAGGTTCCAGTAACTGTGCACTTGCGTAAAGGGCTTGAAATGTCTTCATTGTCACGCTCAATTCTAATTTTTGCACCTACAGGAAAAATAGATTGGCATGGAATATTAGTGAAGTAGACATCCCACAAAAAGATGTAAGGGGTTACCTAATCCAGGTTCACATGTAGCTGTTTTAAGAAAGGGCATCTTACATTAAGCTAATGCTAAAATACTGAAATGAAGTATGGCAGTGAGAAATACATGTCTAGTTCATTACTGCATGCATGATTGAAAGTCGCAGTGGCTCATCAAAACTGTATCCTAAAAACTCTTTCAACTATACTCTCTTGCACTGCTTGTCTGCACAGAGGGGTAATCACTCAGCAAAACTTCTTGGGATAATTAAAATTTATTGATCCCATAAACCAGTACAGTTTTAGTTCAGATCTTTTGAGATGTTTGCAAGCATTAACATTCTCAATATATCTGGGACCTGAAAGACAGCAACACTGATTTCTCAATCAGTGTTGTCATGCAAGCAAGGCCATACAAGGAAACCCTGTCACACTGCAATTTGTGTCTGACAGAAAAACTCTGCATTCTGTCCACTAACAGATCCACACTTCTACACAAACGATCTGATCTTGTAACAAAATAGAGGCACAAAATTAAGTTCTAGCAGCCAATCAGAAACGGGATTGCTCACACCCTGCCCTCCATTAATAGTTTAAATATTTCTTTCAACTGCCACTTAGGGCACAGTCTGATGATCGCTTCAAGTGTGAAACTTGAGTAATTGTAATTTTTATCTTAATTTGTATTTCGCTCTGCACTGATCTGTATTGAACATTCCTATAATTATGTGAAACCACTTCTATTTTTCTTTGTTGACATTAAGTATACTATAAATATAATAAGGTTAACGTAATAATATTTGTATTTGTCTTGAGAAAATAAAGATGTTCTTGCTGTTGTAGACCTTCAGGTATGTTGCTTTAGTTTGCTGTCACTCCACATACACATGTAAGACGCTGTCTATCTGGCTATTAATAAATGGTCCCCCAATCTGGGGCCTTATTTGACAAACAGACAGACAGATGGAAAGATAGACAGACGAAAATTAATATTGCATAGGTACTGTTTCTTATTGATCACTATTAATTATTGATTATCACTGATTGATACCAAAGGCCAACCTAGCCAATCAGATTCAATGAGATAGCACATTAACAACAGAAATTTGGTTACGCAAAACAAAATATTTGCTTGCAGGTACATGTACCACAGCACGATAAGGTGAAATGTGTACAAAAAGAAAAACTTCCTATATGTACATGAGGGAGTATGATATAGTTTTCAAACAGTCACTACCCACATTAGTTACACTTAATTACCGCTTAAATTTTCTTGGCATGTCAACCTGCTTTTCATAGATCGATGTTTTTTCTTGACCAATATTTTAAGAAACGTGTCATGTACTCGTTTTGTACATTTCCTAAACATTGAACAAACAAGCCCACCTGAAACTGAACACATGTGACGAATTGTCTGCCCTCCTTTGCCAATAACTCTTCCACAAGCACGCTGAGGAATGAAAATCTCTTCCGTTCTAATGACCGGCTGCTCCGCAATGATTTTCTTCACCAAAATTTCCGCTCGCTTTGCCTTTTCGCGTTCGCCTTGAATGAGCAGAATTCTTTCTTCGCTCTCACTGCCTTCATTTTCGTCCTTTAGATTTACACGAACTCCGGTGTCCTTTTCTATCTTTTTAATATTCACTCCAGACTTGCCGATAAGGGCACCGACCACCACACCAGGAACTCTGACTTCTACAGTCCTTTGGTTTGCAGACGCGACTTCCTCGCTTTCTTCTGCTTGAGTAAAATCCTCGTCCTCATCTGAAAATTGGGAATTTTGGCGTCTCCTGTACCATAAATAAAGCAACAATGCCACTACAGGAACTCCAATAGCAATAGCTGCTCTTTGCTCACTGGAAAGGGAAGGCATTTTCGATGCACTTTTAAGAAAATATTGTTCATGAGGTGAAAGAGTAAGTCCAACACGGCTGGCTGTGGCACCTGGCCAGTAAATGGCTGCAGTAGGACTGAAAACGAATGGCCAGGGGCCATTTTGAATGAGGGGGATACAAAGACAGACCACGTTTTAGTACCATTTCTAAAGGTGCTATGGAGGGACATTAGCAGGTAAACGTCAAAGTGACTTCGATTTGACCAAAACGGGTGCGTGCTGTGAATTTCGCAAGATCGAAGATACAACCGGACTGGTAATGGTGCTCACAAGACAGGGTCGGCAAGTTAGCTCCTCAGTATTGCCATTCTTGCCTCTATTTCTACGTGCCCCTGTTGTGCACGGAAAAAAAAGGGGAGGTAAAGAGTTAGGCATTCCAACAGGTAAGATAACTTTGTTACACAGTGTTTACAAACAATGCATGTACGAGGCTGGACTGTACGTGCTCTTTCAGTCTTTGGGTACGTGTTTGCAAACATGATAAAGAGAAGTTCAGACAGGAAATCGATAAGAAGCCTTATAAGTGAAATATTTATTATAGGTAATATTGATGAAAATAAAATTAAAGAATGAATTAAAGAGCAAATTTGATCTTGATTGTGCCCTGCGGTAAGACGAAGTGGAGTTTTACGGCCTAGAGTAATAAATCTTAGACCGGAACCGGAAAGCTGCAGCTCCGAGCTTTAATTTATTTTATCGCTACTTTGCTGTTTCGAAATATTTTCCATCGTTTCGCACAGCGGTCATTTAGCGCCGATACTGACTTCATCGACTTCATCAATGTACCGCGTCGATGTAAACGTCGACCGGTTTGTCAGCCATACTTTTTTGTGTTGCATAATACTTTTCTGGTCTGCGGTTTCTCACGCACGTGAAACGAACATCACTTCGACAGTAATCCGCTTGGTGCTTTGATATCTTGGGACTGAGATGCGTTCAGACGTGGTTACAAGTTTTCCTCCGTATTTTTGCCGGGGAGAAGTGGTTAAGGGTTTCGGAAGAGGCAGCAAAGAGTTGGGAATTCCGACTGGTGAGTTATACTTGTAAAGTCTGACGTTCACAAAACGTAATCACACTGTGAACCTTCCAAACAATTTGTTTTCATGTTGGTATACGTAGAGATCAAGTTTGGCAATTTTTAAAGCGAGTAAAATCATGTTCGTGTTATAGTACGTGGACATTTCACTATTCATTTGAGGCCTTTCGTCATTACCTTTGTGAAACTAAGTCATTCAATCAGTGATAGTTGGACTGTTGCTAATCTGACTCACGCACTAGCGAGGTATCTGTTAGTGTAACCAAGTTGTTTTAGCTTCTGGTAGCGATTGTATTTCTATTCCTTAATTCATATTAAGACATGTATTCACTCATAACAAAGAACCGTACGAGACTACAACAGTAATAGATGGTTTGCAAAATGCAAAATTTTGTGATTTTAGTGTATTACTACTGTATGTCATTTGTTTTTTCCGTGTTTCGGTAATGACCTGATATTGGACTTTAGAAAATATCACTCTGAAAAAAATGTTTAGCGCAGTTTCTTCTTTAATTGAAAAGCTCTCTTGGAAAAATCTAAACACCTTGACACTTTATAAAGTTATTATTCAGTCATTCAGTCATTCAGTAAGTTTTATAAAAATATTGTGTATCAAAAAGCATTAAATTCAAATAGTTAATTTTTATAACTTTATGTCATTGTAAATCATGGCTTTAAAATTCATAGCGCCAATTCTGAGTCTACTTATTGTATATGTAGACCAGGGAAAATTTCTTTCTTTGTACACAATCTACACAATATTTTCTGGGTAATTTTGGAATGAAATGTCATGAAATCTGCCTCGTCCATTTTTGTGTAATTCAGTTCCTACATAAATATTAACCATAAAGGTTCTCAATGGTAATGATGCCCTGCATGTGAATCAAACCTTGAAACATGCTAAAAACATATTTTGAAATGAACACAAACATTTTTAAAATTTCAACAGAAGGAGGTTAGAAAGTTTTTTTAGGCTAAGTAGTATTGAGAGACTGGTTACTGGGGACAGTCAATTAATTGTAAGGGAATTTCCGACATATGATCCATTCTGAACAGGGTATGCCTGTGGTGTCCTAGCCCATACTGATAACGTACATGTACATCTGTACTTCAGAATGAGATATCTCTGTGGACTCTCTAATTGGGCAAAGTACAATAACAGCAAAATCAGAGAATTACCATGAGCATTTTTAGTCATTCAACAAAAATTTTGGTTTGAATATCAGATTTCCCCCTCAGGATCCCTCTGACAGATTTCTCCAAAGCTGACATTAACAGAGTGACATCTGTTAGCTGAGGTGAACAGGCCTGCCACATGTATACAAACATTGTGTTGCATCAGCTGAATGAAGTGTCTATTGTCATAGAAAAATATGTAACTGAACCTGGGTATTGTTATTTGTTCTGTGAGCAAGCTGTGCCATCAAACACTGACATATGTCTGTCAGTAATGTGATATTTCTAATGATAGCATGCCAGCTGTAACCTGTAAGGAGACATGAATTAAAAGAAAATAATGGAACATTGGTGACATATTGTTCTCAAACAGTGTGCTGGTGGTTTTTGAGTTTTAAGGACGTTCGCACTACTTGTTTGTGTGCATCCTTACTGCACATGCAAATTCACATGCCATGTTGTGTATCGAGTGCATGCTAAGTAGTGAAATGAACAATGATAGCGCAGATGGCCATTGCTATAGCTTTGCCTGGATTTAATGATCTTGGACGTTCGGTGAGCCCTACTTTTCTTTTGATGGATCATTTTCTCTACAGATTTTCTACATTTAGTGAAAATCTATTGATTAGAAGTCTGAATTTTTTGCAAAATGCACCATCCTATTCCTTTCTTGTTAGTTCTTCGTTTATCTGTGCAGCGATTTCAAAAGTCTCTTAGAAGGGTTAAGTTTTGTGAAAACAGTTGCAACATTTGGAATTATTAACACAACAGATTCACTTATACAAGATATTACACTAGGATAGTTTGTCTCCATTGAGTTATCTTTGATATTTTAAGTTAAAAACCCTGGAGACCATGCTGATTTATGCGGGCCAATTTTTCAAAATCTGACTAGTTTTTCACACGCTTTATCTCTGAAATGAAGTCGGTGACCCCCAATTTTTTTTATTTCTGAAACAAGTAATTCACTATCTGTCTACAGTAGAAGTTTGAAGAAAATCTATCAAGTAGAACATTTTGGCACTGGTGTCCTCGAGAGAGCCAACCAGCCATCTTGAAAATTATTTGGGTTCTGAAAGAGATAAGTGGAGGAAATTACACATGGCAGTGCAAAGATATGCATTTTATTTTCAAGTGGTAAAAACAATATTGTACAAATGAGTCCCAACAAGTGATTAAGCTATTGTTGGTAAAGCTTTTTTTTTTCTAAAAAAAGAACACAATATAAAATGAAATTCATATCTTCAGGCCACTGTGCAATTTATTATGTAAACGAACAGTCTGACTATGTGCACAAACAATTATGAAAATGCCAGAACTGATGTCATCAACATCCGCACCAGTGAGCAATCATGGAAAGCACGCACTTCGCTATTGTTTTTATTTTTGTTGTTATTAGATTTAATTAGTAGTGGATTAGTATCTTAACAATGTAATTAACGCAATTTTAGTATTTACTTTAAGTCCTGATGTTTTACCCATGTATAAATAAAGTTAAATAAATAAATAAATAAATATATAAATAAATAAATATATAAATAAATAAATATATAAATAAATAAATATATAAATAAATAAATAAGTAAATAAATAAATACATTTAGGTATGGAAAATACACCACTTGGGTCCAGGATGTGGTTTTGTAAGAATTTTACGAGTGGTATATTTTCCAGCAGAACACTGGTGTCTATGTGATAATTATAACATAATTTTTGAATTAGTGTACCTAAAGATGTGTACATGGCAAATGTTGTGTACTCTAGGTGGTATAATACATAATCCATTCAAAAGGATTTAAAGTAGAAAAATTAAAAAAGAAAGAAAAACAATTGGTTTTAACTTTGATATCAAATTCACTGCCCCTTGCTGTGTTGACCCAGGGATATAAAGTTTTCCCTCTGAAATGATAAACTATGCCAAATTGCTGAGTTAAATTGCCGAGTTAAATTGCTCAATGTACATTCAAGTGACTATCGATTATGCTCATTTTGAGTTTTTTCTTGCAGCAAACTTCCCAATGGACGTAGTAGATAATTTACCTGAGGCAGTTAGTACTGGAATTTACTATGGTTGGGCAAGTGTGGACAGAGGACCTGTCCACAAAATGGTCATGAGCATAGGATGGAATCCATTTTATAATAACACCAAAAAATCCATGGTGAGTACTATTGCGAGTGTGTGTGAATGATTGTTAACTGAGTTATCCAATTCTTAATCTGAAATGATCATTGAGAGGATTTGAAAAAAATTCAATCATTGTATTTGTTAAATTTCGGTCCAACCAGAAATAGGTCTGCGTTCACAGGCCACCTCTGTTGTGGAGAGAAATAATAGAGTTAAACATTTTGGGCTTTGTAGAACATACAGTACAGTGTAACCTCCCATGCAAATGCTCTTTGGCTGAGTATGAAAACCTTCCTCATCCAGAGGGGCAAGGGGACGGACATATAGGGGGGAGAGGAGGGTTGGGGGGGGGGGCTGCATGACAAGCAAAACAGTATTCTGTTGGAAGCTAGGGCTCAGAAGAAGCAGTGAGCAAGATATTCAGTAGTTGCCAATGTAAGCTACTCAGAAGAAAATTGGATGAAATTTGGAGAGAAATTAGACGATCTGTGGACGGACAAGTAATAACACTTAAAAATCAATTAAAATGTGATCATTGTGACTATTAATAATGCATATGTTTTTTTTTTTATATATATTCTTTTTTAGGAGACTCACATTATTCATACATTTGACAACGATTTTTATGGAGCAGAGCTTAGTGTTGTTATTTTAGGATTCATTCGACCTGAAAAGAATTATCCATCATTGGGTAAGTATTAGGTATTGTATGAAGGTTAATTTGAGTTTAGTTTTATAATGTTTTTGTGCAATCCATGAGCAGCAGTGCTTAAATAAAGGCTGTCTGTCTGTCCGTCCATCTGTGTCTGTCCATCTATTCATCCGTCCATATGTCAGGGTTGGTATGGGTCCTGGAAAACCTGGAAAGTCCTGGAATTTTACCGTGGCATTTTCCAGGACTGGAAAGTCCAGGAAAACGGTTACTGGTCCTGGAAAGTTCTGGAAATCTGTTAAAGTCAAGTAAAAAATATGAAATGTATTGTAGACAGTAAGGAGAATTAACATTGAGATCTTGGGAGTGAAAGGGTTAATGTGAATTTTAGAGACCTGGAAAAATCAATCTGAGTCCTGGAAAAGTCCTGGAAATTTGTTTCTGAAAAAGGGTTCAAACCCTGTTTGTCTGTCCGTCAGTCCGTCTGTCCTTCCGTCCATTTGTCTATCTGTCTGTCCATCTATTCAGTAGCATCTTGATACTCAGCTCAGACTTTTGTTGATAATGAACAAAACTGCAAGAAGCAAATTTCTTAGTCGTCCGAGTACACCTACTGTGCTTATTTTGTGGCTACCGTACTTACCACAAAATTAATAACACCACTGAGATTTTTCCATTTGCTTGTATTTCAGATGCTCTCATTGAAGCTATTCACGCAGATATCAGGGAAGCTGAACAGACGCTTGAAAAAACTGAGAACAAAGAGTTTGCATCTCATAGTTTTTTCAACAAAACAGAAAGCGACACATGACAAATCCAGCTCACTGAATTTCGTGTACAGGAACCTGAAATATTATGTTAAATTACTAACAAGTTGGCTTGCGCGGCTGGCTGAATTTCGAGGGCGGTGAAGCCGAGACGACAACGGGAAGTAATTTTTAACAGAGTTTTTTTTTCGTGTCGAAATCCCACCAGCTGCGCACTTGTTACTAACAAAAAGTTTAGCCTTTTTAATGCACGTTCAAATCGATACTATATCTTTAAGGCAGAGCTCGAATTTAACTTTCACAAAATGAAACTGTGCAACTTAAGCTCAGAGAAAATAGAAGTTACACAAGTACTGAAGAAACAAGAAATGTTCCGGGAATCGTTTTGGGGTAAGTTAAACTGTAAACTCTTCGCTCGCATTCAACTTACTTGTGACATGAAATAAAGTTGCTAACCTTGCAAACCAGTAACACGCGGCCATTATATACATTCACTTTTCTGGCTTCGCGCTCCACGATTATAAGGAAAGTAACCGCTGTAGTTGCCAAGTTGTTATCGGGTTTGACCCGTATAGTTCTCTGGTGGGTATGAAATGGTAGGCCAATGTAATTCCCATGATACCAAACCAAATGTGAGTAATATATTTACACTGTCTTTAACATGTTAATCACGAGCTTTGAAATTCAATGACAATTTATTCCTATATGCAACCTCAGAATGTAAAATATGCTATTCATCAGTATCATTTTTTGATAAGAATTTATTCCATGTGTTATTCCTCAAGTGTATTCCTTACCTCTGATGTACATATATTTTCCAGGTTGAATATTAAATTAGCGGTGTAGACTTGTTATATCAATAAAGTATAAGAAACTACGACACCATCTCCGATGGCAAGGCCCGGTTCATACATCGCATTTCTGCCGTGTCGAATTCAATTCAATTAAGTGCGGCAGAAATGCGACTAGGGATTCATACGTCGCACTTGTGTCGAATTTAATTCAGAATTAATACTGTCGGGTATGTCGGTCAGCGGAAAATGTTTTAAACGTAGAGTATTCAATACGGCGGACGGAGATACTGAGGGACGAAGGACTTTAATTTTGCGAAAAATTGTCCGCCAATGGAATGAGAAGGAGAGGGCTGACAATGCAGCAGTTTGTTTTGCAATATCTTCAGGTTGCATTGGGTCGAGAATAGCCAAGTTTCCTCTTTCTCTTTGACGGGACCAAATTTACGCATGCTCGATACATTAACATAATATATGAATTAGATTCGACACGGCAGAACTTCGACGTTTGAATCGGTGTCGCATTTCTTTCGGATAATGCGACAAGACCAGTCGAACGTGCGGCAGAAATGCGGCAGCCGATTCAGACGTCGAAGTTCTGTCGAATTTAATTCGCTGAATTGAATTCGACACGGCAGAATGCGACGTATGAACCGGGCCTTAAACGTAGAGTATTCAATACGGCGGACGTATGAACCGGGCCTCGGCTGGTTTTCACGCGGGTCCTCTATCCTCGTCAAATTAGAATTTGGAGATGTCGGTTTTTGTGGAGGGAGAAACACCGGAAAAAAACAGGAGTAAAACCCTCGGAACAAGGCGAGAACCAACAACAAGCTCAGCCCACATATGGCACCTGGCCGAGTCGACCCCGGGGGCCACATTGGTGGGAGGCGAGTAGCTTACGTGAAGCCGTACCCACCCCCGAGGAAAAACGGTGCGTGGGTACGGTTAGGCTAGAGGCGAACGCTCTAACCATTGCGCCATCCTCGCTCCCCAGTCTCTCGTACGATAGTCTGGATTCACTGATTCATTCCGACCATCGGTGCCAGAGCTTCCCTCCAGCTGAGACTGTGTATCCACAGTTCTCTCCATTTAAGTTGCTGTTTTGGAGAGTGCAGCTACGAAATGTAGTACTTACAGCGGGGCTGCAGAGCCGCCCGACTTCTTTTGTTTGATTAAAGTTTCTGTGTGGGGCGATACAACGTTCCCTATTCCCAATTCCCAATTCCCAAAAAGGAGTTACACTCAAGCAGGCACATGCATCGTGCCTCTTAAATGTTACCATGGTTACGGTATTGTACGGTTCGGTCTACCGTTCCTGCTCCTGCCGATTCTGATTGGTCAGCGGTTCTTAAATGACTGCTGGCCAATGAGCATTCTCGTCCCCAGTGGCCGCGCTCCTTTTGGTCAGCATCAAGAATCGTGATCTCTGGCCGGACTCGATTTTCTGGGCATGCGCAGAGTATTCGTTTCGTATTCTCAGCCATATTTGTCGGATTTGACGGGAAGTCAATGAAAAGAGGACTTCCGGTGTTGGACCCGCCCAGAAGTCGCGATTCTTGATGCTAACCAACACGAGCACGGCCTCTGGAGACGATAATGGCCAACGAGGGTTTGTATCTTGATCTCTGGGCCCTATGCGCATGAAACCCTGAATGGCGCTTTCCTTTTCGAAGTCACGGCAAATGTATGGCTGGATTGGTATTCGCCCACTTGACAGTGAAGGAGAGCTACACAATAGCATATAAATAGAATCTGATATAGAGCACAACCGCATCACTTGTGCAGACTTGAATTATTTTTCTTTTGAGGTCAGGAACATTCTAACTTTGAAAATACGAGGTAGCCGTTAGCCGCAAAGGAAAAATACACCACGCGAACTTCAGAATAATGTGTAACAACACCAAGCTCGCTTGCTCTATAAGAGAAGAAAACGCTTGGCGGTTCCCTATGTCAACAGGGCTGCTTGGCTTTGTCTTGGGGATGTCATGTTTTGGTGTAGCAATGAAACTGTTGGAATATGAGAACAGCCCGAGCCTGCCTCCAAAGCTGGTTGGAATTCCTGTGAGTATCATGAAAAAGTAAAGCTCAGTAATCGACTCTTTTATCTATAGTGTTAAGAAGAATAGACCTTAATTATTTTACATGATCGTGTCTACAGGTGTACTGTGAAACTAAACGTATTTAGGGTTTCAATACCGATATTGCATCTTGTATTTCTCATCTTAAAAATGCTGGGCACGGCAGAATCGAAATACGTATGTTTATGATAGAATCTTCTTTAAAAGATTCCGCTTTGCCACTAAGGAAGATCTACTTTGCAATTTCGTGCACTCAGATCGCTCAAGGGCCAAACGCTTTATATTATCAGAATCAAACATACAACGGATTACGTTATATCCACTCGCGCTTAGACAAAGAAAGAAAACAAATACAACTTGAAAAGAACAATTATCGACTTTGTATCAGTTACATGAACAATAATTCGACTTCTCACTAATTAAACTAAATGTTCTTCACTGCTCATAAATTAGTTAGTTACTTCACCGCTCAAAATGTCATGTCTCATCGTGATATTCGCCAGGCTAAGCAAAGAGCATTCGATGAAAAGATATTTGAGAAGCCGTACGGGACTTGGAAGAAAAGAAATCTTTAAGATATATCGCTCAGAACACGTTTTCAATTTGCTGATACAATTTAAGAAGCTGAAAATTAAAAGCCTCGGCGTAAATAAAGCAGTAATATAGGTCATAGAGCACATCAGAGAACAGAGGAACCAGTTAGTATATTGCAAGCTTTAAAGCTGACAAGGACTAACAACCATGCAATATCTAAATTGATAACTTTTGATGTTTTTTAGAAGAGGTAACGCATTTGATGAGCCTTCTTTTTCACTGATACAAGTTTACTTTTCCTTCCTGTACAGATGTTAGGTGCAGGGATAGCGGGAATGGTCGGGGGAAGGATGAGAAAACACTGGCTGGTAAGAAAAAAAAAATCAAAAAACTGATTTGCATTTCATCGACTTGTCCTTGAAACTATCACAAATCAACACGCGTAGCTATCTTGTACGCTTTACCGATGTCACGTATGAGGCAATCTTTTTATTTGGAAGCAATCGCTCTTTCTTTAGCGCGTTTGTGCATCTGGAAACCTTCCAAGAAGAAAAAAAGCACAATAATGACTTTCATTTCACTCCTCCGGCTACGAAATGGACTTACCTCGTTCCCAGGCTCTCTCTCCTTTGCCTCCGTTGTCGACAAGGGAAGCAAAGAGAGAGAGAGAGCCTGGTAACAAGGTTGAAAACGGACCGTTTCGGCGAGAAGATATTTTCCACGGTTTACGTCAGAAATCAGTTCTGAGATGAACAAATTCAATATTTTGATGAAAGCTTATTTGATATTGGAAAACAATGAAATGTTCTCTAACTTCACTACAAGTTTAGCTTTCAAAATAATGAGAATGTTCCATGATCTGATCAGTTTGTTATCTTTTCTTTTCAACAGGTTTCCCTGCACACTATCTTTTGCTTAATAGCAGGCGTGCTGAGTCTTCACCTCGTGTTCTTATTTCTCGGACGAGAGTCCGATTCCAGAGAGATATACAAAGCAAAGTGTCAATCAAACTTCAAGGGCTCATGTGAGTTTGTTATTGTGCCGTTGTTGCTACGGTTTAATTCTTTCCCAGCTACTAATTACTCACAACTGGATTGTCACCCACGCTTGCAGTTGTTGAAAATCCATTTCCTTTGATTTCTAGGCATAGATTTAGGACTTGATCATGTGAAAAACGTTTTTCATTCCTGGTGATCAATTTTCAACATTTTTGTTTCTAATCAGGAGCGAACCTTTTTGCTCGAGAAACCCCAAAGGTGACTTGTATTGGAACGGAGTGATCCCCCAGGGTTACCCGCTCTGAGAGTAGGGTGACTGCGAGGAAGGTTAGAGCGGAGGTGGCAACTTTTTCGACGCAAATACTTTGCCTATTTTTGCGCCGCTTGTTGAGCAAGCGAGAACACGTACGCCCGGATGTTTCAGCCGGATCAGCACAGACTTTCCACATCAGTACAAATTCTTGGTAGTGTATGGCTTGGAGGAATGGAGACACCGCCTTCTCCCATATGGATAGTTGGAAGGCTAATCTCATGCGTGTTTTCTTTCAGCTTACTGTCACAGGTATGCGGCAACTATTGCAATGTCAGCGCTGTCTGTCCTGGCCACCACACTGGCTCCGTTGGGAATTCTATCTCATGTCGTTACTAGACGCGTACCAGGATATAACGAGAACGAGGTACAGGTAAGATTTTTCAGACGAGATGACCACATGAAATAGTGTCGTTACTATCTTGAAAGGGTTTGAAAGACTGCTGCGTAACAAGCATAGTGGGAGTTTGGGGCGAAAGCACAAAATCGACGGAGAGGAGGTGGGGTGGTGGGGCTAGCGAAGAACGTTCCCTCGCGCGGACAGAATACGGAAAAGGTTGTTTTGTTCGTACGGGGACGCTTGTTACGTAGACTTTAGAGGCTATTTTTGTTCTCTGACTTAATTTAAATTAGCTCAAAGCCACATGACCAAGAGGTTTATCAAAAGACCGTCCAAAAACTAATTTGTTTTTACTTTGCGCTCCAGTTGGTTAAGAATAATTGTCTACCGTACCTTAACCAATCAGAACAAAGATTCTGGGTTTTCAACCCATCAGAGATTGGGAATCGCAGTCAGTATCGCGATTCGCTGAGCAACAGTCACATGAGATCTGATTGATTTATTTTGTTGTTTAGGTTCTTTTTATTGGTCAGACCTGATTACTTTTTAGAAAAACCGTCCTATCACTACTTACGGCAATTAGTTGCAGAATATACCGAAAAAAGAACCAAATGGACAACAACAACAACAACAACAGCACTTAGATTTACAGAGAGACTATTTAATTGTTCAGTCATATATTGGGGAATTATATCAGATGAAATGAAAATTAATCAAATAAATATTCTAGTTTATATTTTTTGTTACGTCGGGTATGGAAAATGAAAGACCCTCTGTGAAATCTCCGGGCGCAAAATACCCATAACTTAATGTTTTTTTTTTTGTTTACTGTTAATCGTCTTTTAAGTTTAGTTACTCACTCGACTGCGGTGTATTCGACGAAATTTTCAAACGATGTAAAAGTAAGTTGTGTGATTTTTTCTTAATTTTCCAAAGGAGGCAAACAATCCAACTTTAGAAAGTCGTCGTGATCCAGAATCGGCGCCAGAGAGAACAGACGAGCGGAATCCACCGCGGCAACTTCAACAAGATATCGATCGCGCTCCAACGAATCACACACGTAGAGATCAACCTAAGCAAAACCAACGGCATCTTAACTATTACAACTATCATGGAAATTCGCAACTTCCCGCCAGTCATCATCATAGGCAAGCTTTCAATATCCACCACCATCGCGATCCAAACAGGTACATCAGACAACTGTATCAACAACGAAACTTGCCTCTAATTATAGCAGCACACAACTGCTCGTTGGAACAGAGTCATATACCACCTGCTCAGAGATTACAGCGGGGCTTATCAAATACAACAGATAGCTCGTTTGCATAAAAGACGGTGCGAGTTCCGAACCGCACCTGGAAAAGAGGAGAAGTCTGAAATTTTAAAGGATTATGTACATAATAACCGTAGTTACAGTTCGGTGTTGACTAATTTTTAGCGTGTAGAAAAGACTTGGCAGCAAAATTACCCAACAAATTTGCCAAAACTGGGGATTTGTTCACACTTGCTTAACAGAGCTTAAATGTTAATAAACATATTAAGATTAAATCCGATAGGAAATTGAGCAATTTCAGTTTTTTATGGACAAAAACGTTAAGTATATTACAGTCCTTCTTGCATTTTCTAAAAGCTAAAGATGTAAATAGATATCTGAAATGCACCAAAATCAATTTCCCAACAGTGTTATTTCAGTAAAAGCCCTTCGTTGCAGATTTAACTTAAGGTAGCCTTAGTTTAGTAATCAGTCTACTAAGCCTAACTCGTAGCTTATCTTGAAAGTGTCTTCTTTGCACAGCCCATTACGCTTGACGCTTTGAATTACCTTGAATGTTTGATCGTTTCTGGGCTATAAGCGCTCAAAACTAATATTATGGGTGTTTTTAACGGGTTATACTGTTGCTATGGTAACTTGTTATATCACGAAAATGATCATAACTTGTTTACCAATCATTGGTCTTTAAATTCGTTTGATAAAGATATTAAGTGGTAGTAATGACCCGTCAAAGTATAAGCGATAGAAAGTACTGGACACTACAATTAGTCAGCTCGAGTCAAGATTCGGTATTCAAATTCCATTCGCAGATTATTCAACGTATCAAGGCACGTTACAGACTCTTCACTTTTCACTGATCACACTATCGTTCCTACTTCACTGATCTTGCATTTTTGTTTGCCGTTCTTGAACCCATATTCCCGTGTTGGCGCGTCTTCAAATGCAGTCTCATAGTCTGTAGGATACTGGCTGCTGTTCTTTGATTGACATTTACGCTTCTCCCTTTCCGGTCTTAACATGGGTTTTCTTTCCGCGTGAGATGAATTTCCTAATGACACGATGGCGACATGATCACCACCCTGAAAGCAGAGAACATTCTTAGGGTTTTCGCAAATGGCTGTGGGGGGGAGGGCAAGTGGGCTGAATAAAACAAACGATTACGTAACCCAGCTTGATAGGTTACGGTAAGTTTAGCAATATACTGACTACTTATTAACCGTGTTTGAGGTCTTTTTAAGCCCTCGGGAAAATCTTAAACCGAGACCTTGGCGTATTGACTAAGCGATAGCGAGGTCAATACGGCAGGGTCGAGCCATCTTGGACCGAACAACCTTGGTCAATAAAGGATTTATTATGTGGAAAAAGAACATTATTTTCTTGCGGGACACAGTGGATAATCCTGGATAATCCCGAGAGGGCGAGATAGTGTCATCTTACCCGCTCTCGTAGCCAATCACAGCGCAGGATTTGGTTCATCTTGCCCGCTCACGGAGCTAGTCATATTATAATAATTAGCCATAAAACTCACCGAAACAGCGCAACAAAGTAGTTGGGACGACTCAATTACGCCAGACAGCGAGATAGCCGCGGCTAGAATCAAGATACTTGTCAAGGCGATCATCAGAATTGATTCTGTATCGTATGGACAATGCACTGAAATGAAAGGAAGAGAATTAAATGAAATATAATGAAAAACGGTGGAAATCCGTCTTACAACCAACCGGCTGTTAATATGGTTCAACTTTATTTCGACCAATTTTCTTCCCCAAAGAAATCACTTAGTCGTTTTTTTTTTTGAAGACCTCCTTTAACACGACTACAAGATGGTCTTATTATTAACGGGTTGCACTAGAACTCAAAAATTGCAAAGAACACAAAATCAGGAAAACGGCCAAAGAAGCAAGATTCTGGGTAACTGATGGAACCAAGCAGGACACAGGTGCCGGAGACGAGAGCACAAAAAGGGAATTGTAGGATGGTAAAAATAGTGGTTTCAGTTATATCTCCCTCAATGGAAACCATCAACTAGGTGTATACATTAGAATTTTTAGCCCTCACCGTGCGCGCATTCACCCACAGATCTCCACGAGGTCAGCGCGATTCCCACGCACGCAGCCACGATTCCTCCGAGGATACACGAAATGACGGAAGCAGCGAGAAATAGCCCTGTCTGGTGACGAAACATCAAAATTTTAAGATGTTGATCCTTTAGCTCTCTTTGGGAAACTGCAAAGAACGTTGAAGGGGGGTGGGGGGTGGGGGAGCATTGTCGTAATACTTCTATTCAGAACAAGAGAGCAAGTTGATAGTATGAGACACACGGACCGAGAGGAAGTCGAGGTCCATAATAAAAAATAAGTAAATAAAAAAAAAAAAAAAAGAACGAGGCCAATTTTCCGGCATCTTGACCGAACGAGCTTGATCAATAAGGATTTATTATATAAGAAAAGAATTTTTTCTTGAGGCACACAGCGCCTAATCCCGAGCGCCATCTTGCTCGCTTGGGTGGCCAATCACAGCGCAGGATTTGATTTATCTTGCCCAATCAGGGAGCCAGCCATGTAATAAAAGCGATTAAGGGCAGCTCCCCTAGGGTCCAGCGTAGAAACATTCTGAGGACATTCAATAGCATATTATGTAATTTAAGCATCAGCAATAGTAATAACCGTGGGTAGATCTTACCACAAAGAATTTTCCAGTGATCCCTCCTGTTATTCCGAGAACTCCAGTGACGACGATCTAAAATAATCGTATGTGTTATTTAGTATGGATTGTTGCTTGGCATTCATGCCACTCAGTGGCATTGATTCCTCTGTTTAAATAATCTTTCAGCTTCAAGGGCTGAAATTTCACCAGTTTAGGGGCTCGCTACCGCTCAATAGTGTCATTTTTTCCGCCCAAAGCTAAATTCGAACTTATTAGTCTTTCCGTATGACCATAGCCAATAGACTTCTTACACAGTGTATTGTTATCAGAGCTTTCATTTTCCTTCAGTTGACTAGCAGTAGGAAGGCTTGGGACAGCCATAGACTCCTTGTCACTCGAATCTGATTCAATGACTCATCAGAGTCCGTGTCTAACAACAGTTATTGACACTCAGTTACTATATGAAACCTCCAAAGCTGTCGTACAGATCACTTTCATTAGATGCTGTGACAACTCCTGATTGGGGAAAATTATCAACATGAAGACAGGGTGAAACGGATCAAAAGGTATTTTTTTACAGCTCAACTGACCAGTTATCAGGCTCCAATCAGTACGAAAAGACTCCATGCAGGGTGGGTCTATGAGAAATCAATAATCTTTTGTTTTGCTTTTACAACTAAGTATATACAATATCAGGAGTACCTGAACATTCTGCTAAAATGTGCTCGCTTAACCCATGTAATCTCGTTATGATTTGATTTTTTCCCGTTATGGTGTAAAGGTAAATTGATTTGAATTCGTTCGATCACAGTGATTAAGGTATTGTTACATTTCACAGCTGACGAAACACGCTCGGTTTCCCTAGACTTTGTTGTTAATTCTCTCTCTGCAAACAGTATTTTTTTTATTCTTCTCTGGAAAAGATAAATAATTTCTTTATTCATTAATTTCCTTGTAAAATAACTCGTTTCCCGAGGGATGAATCAAATTAGACCACGCAGAACTTACTTCTTTAATGTACTGATGTGTGAGGCTTTCATCCATATAGACTAGTATTTGTTTGCTAGCAATTTATTTCACAGTTGGCGAATAAAGAAAAACAGTCAATTATTTTGGCTATGGTAATTTATTCAGTTGCAAGTCATTATCTATTCAAAGCCACTGATGTGTTTGTTCAACGCTTTTTTCTGCGATGTTCCATTTCACGCCGTGCTCTACATTTAATGTTTCTGTTCAATATGCAAGATTTTTTTCTCCTGTCACTCGCGGAGTTCGCCGGTTACGGTTTTTCGGTCATGATTTGCTCTATCATTAAAGTATCTTAAAGTTTATCTTCTTTTCTCGGCTAGTATTTATGATGGGATTTGCTGTCTTGTAGCCGTAAAGCAGTTCTATTAAAACAATAAATTCAGATCTAACTCTTTTTATAGAGTCTGTTTTAAATTGTTAATAAATGAACCAAGACGAAACTCATCAAATAAGCTGCTACGAATGAAACATAAGTTGCTACAAGAAAAATTTAATAAGAAGACAGTGATCAAATGCATGTATGAGATCAATTTTGAAGGAAAAGAATCTACAAACAAACATCGATTAAGGTAAAAGCTTTGTGCTCTTAGTGAATAAAGATGTCAGGAAAACGACATGCCGGCTTGGACGGCCTGGAACGGAAGACTGAATGTAAAAAAGTTAAATCGATATGAAAAATACGGTATACAGTCGATCTAATGGAACGGCAACAAAGCGACGAAGTCGCTTAGTTTTTGAATAGATGTTTAAAAATTTCAGATGAATTAAAGATGAATTAACCGCAGCTTGTCGTAGTTTCCGATCTTGGCGGGAAGGAATTGCTCGAATCGAAAATCGACATGAAGGTGACTGCGTATCGAATTATCCATCGATAGATTGAACTCAGATTCAACAGTTTTGATTGGTAAATGTGGCACGAAAATTTTGAACCTCTATAGATTTTAACCGCTACTAATAAACACTAAAATCAAAATAATAACCTTGATAAGCCAAAGCGGACAAATTGTTCATGCAAGTAAGACTATCACCTCAATGCATTTTACATGAAAAAACAATTATATGTCCCTTTGACCTCAGCTTTTGAGGTTTTTATAGATTCATCTCAGAATAACAACACTAGTAAAAGATCAGGGCGGAGAAATTAAAATGGGATAAAAGTCGTATTGACGAATTTTCGAAGTAAAAACACATCTTTTGAAGAATATAGTTGCGCAGCTGTTGCATTGTTGCTACAGGAAAGTCTTTTTTAACTGTTCCAAAATGTATAATTAAACAAAGTTGTTGCTCTTTTCTTAGCAAGAAAATCCAGATATAGATTCCCTTTTTTAGGACCTGCGGTTTATGTATCTAACGCATCTCCGAAATATTTTTTTTGTCAACAGATGCGCGAATGAAATTGAAATTACTCTCACTAGCCGTTGGTTCGTACTTACCGGCAGAGCTGCCCAATACGCCACGCCAATCTCGAAAATATCAGCAAGGTCATGTCTCCTTCTGCTCAATATGAAGCTCAAGGTAAACACACAACATCCCAAGATAATTTGCGATATCCCTGTACAAATAACTTGGTTCGCTCTACTTTCTTGAAAAGGCATTTTCAACTGTGCGGCAGTTGTTTATCAGATGCAGCAGATCTTTGTGAAATGATGCAAGGAAGCTGTGAATCGTAAAGGCAAAGCCATTAGACGAGACGCTTAGCAAGTGTCCAATATTGATTTGCCCGAGGGCAAAAACTCATTTCCTTTCCATTATATTTGCACAAGGTCTTTTATTTCAAACGCAAAAATACATTATTGACGGCAGTTGTAATCTTTTGTCGCGCACTGTGTTATCACCTGTAAATGACTCGTTTCCATAGTTACAAGTGCGCTCTGTAAATAGAGCGTACAAAACTCTTGTCCGCTTCATCATTAGGGTTTAATTTTGGCCTTTCAACAGGCGAGAGGACAAAGTGTTCATCTCTGTTTTTTTCTGATCTGGATTGAACGGACGAGTGATTCGGTTAGGGGCATTGACGAAGTTCGAAATAAGTTCAAAGTTCAATCTTTTTGTCTTTGATTGTCAGTTCCTCTCTTCTAATAATTTGCCAATACCCCGTTATACACAAAACTATAACAGTATAATCCCCTCTTGAGTGAAGCCAGTGGCTTTTGCAGCGCCTTCTTATCATCAGTATTGCCTTCTATTTTGTTAATTATAAATCCCCGATTTCAGCCATATTAAATTTAGAGAAAATACAGTGACACGATGTCAGCGAATCTTAATCAGATTCCGATTGAGATTGAAACTTAATTTCAGTCTTGACTTTAATAAGATGCTGTGTCTAAAACCTCAAGAAGTATCAAGTTGCAAATATAAGGAGGTGTACCAATGCCACGAACAATTTTTGCGTGAGCAGTTAAAATACCAAAATAAACTGACGAAGCAACTGCATGCATTTATCAGAGTATTTATCAGTGGATGTTAAGAAATGTCGTAAATTATGTGTGTAATCCGTTAAGACATGGCTTGGAGGTAAACTGTTTTTATTAAGGCTGAAACAAAGTGATTTATAGCGGAGAAGTCATCTTATTGCTGTGGGTGCAAATGTGAAAATAACATCTGCTGCGGGAGCTAAAAAAAGTTTTTAGTAAAGCCTCTGTTAATTACATTTTCTGAAACACTTTCCAGAAACAAGATTTACTTCCGAAACGTATGCTTGCCTGGCGTAACCAGCTAAAATGGGAAACATATATGTTTCATACACTACAGTTCCGCACAGGCGACGATTCTTTAGCCACGCTGCTGATCTGCATCAAGCCATGCTAGCAGATGAGTAAAACTTCCTCAAGTCAGGAAAACTCAACTTTGGAACTAGATCCAAAATCTGGTGAACACTTTAAAACGGCTTCCGTTAAGGCGACTGACTAGAATGAAGTTTTAATTTCCTTCTGAGTTTTCTCGCGCGCTCTGCGCTATTTATTATATCTCTCACTTAGTACGTGCGCTGTGATTGGTCAATTTAATTAGCGGGCCGTATTCTACTGAACGGCCTGCTAAAATTTGAAGCTAGTTTTGTTGCCAAAATGTTTCGTGATTTATCACCAAATTTTCCTAACTTTTACAGCAAGTACAAGTTTAACACTTCCTTTTACTTCTACAATTTTGTATTAAAACCTGCTGACAACTTAAACAACGATTTCAAATTGACTCGTTTTGCTTTCGACGTGCGTCAGAAATTTGAAGCCGTCCCGCGTGAGAAATCGTCCCCGACCCCGGCAGACAGTAGAGATATAGTAAATATCTTACTAAGCTCGTCTTCTCGGTCCGTACTGTAAGTTACGGATCCTCGTTTTTCCCCTTCGATTGATGGCCCGCGCGCTTCAAGCTTGGACCATAAATCGATGGGGAAAAAACTGGGTCCGTAATTTACAGTACGGCTCTCGAACTCAGCCGGTTTAGTCTCTAGCTGTTTCCTGTTCCGCATCAAGCTTACCGGCTTTTTTTTGTTTTTTTGAAGGAACCAGTTGTTGATCCTCGAGTGGTAATTTCTGGGCTAATTCTGTAAAAAAAAATAACCAATTTTCTATTTTCTGCACTCGCAGTTCATAAAAGAATTAAACACTAGAAAACTCAGTCGATCGCAATTGAAATGTACACAACGGTCTGCTTTGAACAAAAGCGCTACGAACACAAGAGCACTCAAAATTAAAGCACAAAGTTGTTAGTTTAAGTCCAAATTAAATGAGCTTTAGCCTCTAATGACTAAAGTAACGATAAAAATAATTTCTCGGCATTGATAAAACAGAGGCAGCCTCTACCTACAAAAGGCCTTCAAACAACAGATTGCCGCCTTTGCCTCTTTGTCGAAGAGGGGACGTCGAACGGTTCTAGTTCCACACTCGATTTCTGCTCTGGCTATAAGACTGCCTTCCAAAATTAGCTAATAAAATTAAACTAAAATCTCAATACTTCAGTGAGAAAGAAAGCTTTCAAATGGTACTTAAAAAATCGATGAAAGATATCATTTATCATAGCCTCCGCGACACTGAGCTGATTAGCATTTCGGATAATGAAAACTCAATAAAAGTCTAGCTTTCGTGCTTTCGTAAAGCTTACCTTTGCAAGGTAACAACTAGACAGGGTCACTTCAATTACCAGTCACCATCTAGAAACCAACCTGGAATGAACAGTGTTAACTTGCCAGCTTTCGTTTGAGTAAAAGTTGCTTTTGGAAACACCATGAAAAAAATCACCTGGACTCCCGTGGAACGTCGGAGAAATGCATATCCACGCAACAAAAAAATAATGGATGCTAATTTGACTTAATGTCCTTGTGATGGCCCACACGAGTGACATTGAACGTGGTAATTGCCCTGATTAGATCAGATACCGTTTCACTTGTGATCACGCGACAACGTTTTACGTGTGATCACGGGCTAACACGTTAATGCGTGATCTCACTATAACGGTATGTAAAAGGGTCCCTCCGGATTCACGGCTGTTCTCCTTACATTTTCAGGAGGCCCATCTCCCACCCACTTGCGTTCATCCTCGGAGACCCAGGGGCAGCTAGGCAGGACGATGCGTATTTTCAGGTGACGCGATATTTTTAGCAAGAATAACAAGAGCTCAAAACTATCGCGTCGCCCCAAAATATCGCATCGTCCCGACTGCCTGCCCCTGGGTCTCCAAGGATGGGTTACGTGGTGCAAGATGTTTTGAGAAAATAGGTCTGTGAACAAAAAAAAAACAGAAGAAGAAGCTGCTTGTTGTGGGAGTGCTAAACAGGGCATGACAGGGGAAGAACAAAAAAACTGCAAGAAAATGAAGAAGTCATAAGCCACCTTGCAGGTCAGAGACCGCATTAAGGAGGTGGGGGGGGGGGGGGCATTCACAAAGTTGAAAATGACAGCATTTACATGGTTGTGGTTGTCTTTGCCAGCTCTTGATATCATTGAGCTACTTTTGAAAATGATGATTTTGTCAAAGCTTACAATGAAAGTGAGAAATGTACTAAGCATCAAAACATAACAAACGAATTTCATTTAGTGCCCTAAAAATAAGATGAATCCGCTTCAGGTGACATTATGCTTTAGTTCTAAAAGTGTCACTAAATATTAAACAGCAGTACAATGTTGTAGGCTGTTTGTTTACTCTTAAATGTTTATCACTGTTTAGTACTTATACCCATATAGGTTGATTCAGTTATCACACCATGACAAACACATTCTTCAATTTTTGACTCAAGTAGGGAAACAATTTACAGTAATAAGTATTGTACTCAGATCTCGTTCAGGTGGTTACCCCTGACTCACCCCCGGTCCACTTTCACAATTTTCTTCTGATTTCATGTTAAAGTATAAACATTAAAATAAAATGATAAAAATTTAAAACTGCAGTGTAGTCAAGCCTTGAACAAGGAAAACGAAAAATGAGTCTGTGTGATAGGCTTGTAAAAGTCAACATTTATTAACACAGATAAGAAAACGAAATCAATCAATCTGCCAGCAGTCTCTCGTCCCTTAACTGATCTTAACTTGATTATCTAACACTTTTCCTAATTGGAATCCACTTTGTACTACCCTATGTTTTTAACTTAAATATACATAAAGAAAATATTTATTAATAAAAATTCCTTGTTACACAAAAGATTGCTCACATGTTGTTCACTTGTTATCATCAATTTGTACAAAGAAGAAACTACAAAGAAGATTGTTCAATGCAGCAGTGAATAAATAGTGTTTCTTGTGAAATTCATGAATAGACCTTTTTCGACTAGGTGGTTTGTTACCCCATTTCAGACCATGTGATGATACTCTTGAGAATTCTTCCTTTAAAATTTTCAAAAAGTCACGTGCATATAAATAAATAATTTTTAGATGGATAAAAGAACAATTCTCTAGAGAATATCACGTGGTCTGTAATGGGACAACAAACTGCCCAAGCGAAAAAGGTCTATTGACTGCTATGAGATCAATAATACTCCTATGTGTAAAAGGCTACTGTTTTCCCTTCCCCTTAATAATAGATATCTTAAATTTGTTACATATCTATTCTACAACAGTCTACAAAGTGCATGGTGCATGTGCAAGTACATTCGCATTATAAACAATTGCTTTTACTTTAAAATCTGTCTAGGACTGGTTAGCCATAATGTCTGCTAACATGTCACAGTAATAACCATCCACGTCAGGGCTGATTTTCCATTGGCCAGCCCGCAGCTCAAGCAGTTCCATCAACAGGCATCTCGTCTTGGCAGTAGTATTATCAGCAAGTATGGTATCTCTTATCTTTGTGACAAGCTCCTCTACTTTCTCCTGCAAAAAAAATACATGTTATGGTATACATGTGAGCTCAATTTATTACTCAAGCTTGCCAATCATTGTGTCCTTCAAAATCTCATAGGGTTTAACAAGCCAATAACTATATGATCTACTAAAATGACATTTCCAGCTTTCTATTTGACTAGGTTGTACGAGTCACAAAACTCTTTTCTATCTACACAGCTTGTTTAGTTTTCTTACTATTCTGAGTAGTTTTTTTGCCTGATTAAGTTAATTGTTTTTACACTGTTATTTCTTTTTTTGTGTCTGGCAAAATAGAATGGTTGCTTGTTGTCCTTAAAAACTGGATTGATTTTTTTTGGTACCGCTCTTTACAGTTGTGGATAGGAAGTGACTCCCAAGTCACAGTTTTCTGATAATAATTTTATGCTTCTTGTTCCCATATATCCATGGTCAGTGTCAATGTCTGTTGACATTTTAATAGCGCATGTGCAATGCATGTGATTATTTTGTCATGTCCACAAGCAAATGTACAGGTACATAGGCATACGGGCACCTTTGGACTTGGCAGGGAGGGTGGGGCAGTGACCTTATTGCCTGAAATTAATGATTAATGATCCAACATCACTCAGAGCATGGTGCATCAAAGGAACTGATAATCCACTCTGGGCAAAGATTCGTTGGTTCCTTGAAGTACCATGATCCGAGAGATCTTGGATTATTGATTCTTATCCAGATCACCCCAAAGAAACGCACCATATTTATTCCCTCTTACCTGACTCACACTCTCCAAGAGTTTTCCAGCTGTTTTAAAATGTCCATAAAAGCAGTCAATCTCATCCACCTCCTCTTCTTCACCGCCAGCCTGTCCTTCTCTTAGTAGTTCACTCATGGTCTGGTGCACCGCTCCAGCCAAAGGTTTTAACGGCGCGCCGTCGGTACTACGTAAATGATTAAAAAGTTCGCATATTAAACTAGCTAATCCGATCCACTCCGCTAATGACTTTTCACGAATGCTTTGCCTCTTTTTGTAATGTTCCTGGGTGCTTTTCAAAAGATCAGCTCTAAAAGCGTTTCCGAAGGATTCATCAGAGCACAGCTTGTTGGCGACTTTTGCAGCTACAGGTGCAAACTCACTATTTTTGATAGTTTGTTGAGTTAAATGGTCAACTACTTCCTTGATTCTCGAGGAAGAGTCCGAGTCAGAAATGTACTGCGAAATTTTCTGAACTGGTGTAGCCATTGTTTCGTCTCTCAATTTATCGTTTAGCACTTTCGCCAAATCAAATCCATCCAATGACTTTACGTTTGAAGAATTCTTTTGTGGATCTGCCGTTTGAGTTTCTCCTGGTTTTCCTTTTGGTATTCCGAAACCTCTACCTCTTCCAATACCACGACCTCGTGGGTTTGCAACGGACGCCATCTTTGAAATCCACACGATTCACGTTGAATAAGTTGCTAACAGGGGTAGGGCCAATCTTACAAATCACCTTCGTTTACTTTCTTTTGATTGGATGCGTTGGTATTTTAAAAATTAAAAGTAAAATTAATTGCATCTAATGAATATTATAGAACAAAAAATAGGCACGTGTTTCCTTAGTTACAAAACAATTAAGCGCTCAGGAGAATTTTCTCCGTTGAACGGCCGTGACCCCCACCTCCACCCTGTTAGTTTATTTTGTAAAAATACCCAGTATAGGTTGCGTTCCGTTATTCCAAGATGGCGCTTGAAGTGGAGTCTGCAGAGTGAGTAGCATCTCTTGTTGTTATTTGTCCATCTACAGCTCTTACACTTCCTACATAATCATAAAGCAAATAATGGGCTACTTTTGGCATATTCTTTGATAGTTAATGCTCTTGGTAAAGTAAAATACCCCGTGAGAACACACTGGAAGTAGCCACGTGTAGCGAATTAAGCTTACTCAAGTTCAGTTTACTCTATCCTGGAAACAAAGCGATGTTGTTCCTATTTTGGTAGAATGGGGATGAAGATTTTCTTAGCTATGTTACTGAAAATTTCTTACCCAGGTAACAAAGCAATAATATTATGGTTTCATTTCGAACTACCAAAACAACACGCTTCTTTTGAAGATTGTAACATGTTTTAAGCTTTTCAGTGAAATTACATGTACTCTCCCTCAGACTCATGATTACTTCATTATGCGATCAAAAGCTTACAACATCTATACTGCTTTTAATTTAGTTCAGATTTACTTAGTTGCAGACTTGTTGTTGTAAAGTTCTGACTGACTGACTGCATTTCCTTTGGGCTTTTTGATTGATACCCTAGAGTATTATAACAGTAATGTTATTGAACATTGTGAAACGTGTAGCCAATAGATGTAGTTAATAGTGAGTATCAGCACTGACTGGTTTAGAAGGACCTTGTTTCTTGACCTGAGCTGCGGACTCTCTACTGAAGTTTTTTTTATCAGACGTCTGCGAAATAACCTGCAGGAAAATGACCAGGGGTACATACATGTACACTGTACCATGCAGAGTACATGCAAAAAATCATATTTGAAAACCAAAGACAATTATGCTTTTAATTTTAATGATGAAGATGTGAAATGTTGTTTTGAAAGAGAAACACCAGATTGCTATCATTACTATGATGTGGAATGGTGCTCTGTTATTGGGTTTGCAGTCATTTTGATGCAAAGCCGATTTGATGCATGTACAAATCAAGGTCGATTCGATACACATATTAAGTTGATTTGATACACATCTAAAGTTGATTCCATACAAACTTTGATTTGGATCATAACAACTTGTATCGAAACGACTTCGTATGGAAACAACCAGCTGGGTAGAAGAAGTAGCATCGTACACTGACTGGTATGTTTCTTGTTTCCTGCCCATGTATGTTCTGATTTGATGATAGTGTAATCCGACTGATCCAGCAGTTTCTAAAAGAAAACAGTCTGCCAAGAACCCTTGCAACTTTGCAGGTAGAGTAACCTTAATGGCTTGGAGTTAATTAACGAATGCAAATGTGGGAATAACTATTGCCTTCAAACCACCACTTAACAGAGTAGAATGTTTTTCAATTAGGTGTTGAAAGTAATCAGGCAATTACTTTAGTTTTGGATTTGGTTCTGCTACAATTTGAGATTGGCTGAGTACGTGTACTCTAATTTGTAAGTAATTGGTTTGGCTTTGGTTTTACGGCATACATTTGAAAACTGTTCTGTACAGTAATTATGATGCTTTTCACAGGTTTCTGAAATTACTCGACTTATTAAGACTTTGCACCAGTGTTAATTATTTCTAACAACTGAATAGAAGAAATTTGTATTTAGGTTCTCTGCATTCACTAAAATTGTACAATATGTGTTTTTTTTTCTTTTGTAGGAAGAAACTGGAATCACCTTGAATACTGTAGATAGTGTGGAGAGTTTTGTAGGTGAAATAAACAATGGCCATTGGGACACAGTGCTGCAAGCTATTCAACCTCTTAAGTTACCAGACAAGAAGCTTATTGACTTGTATGAACAGGTAAATCACCAGACTATTTCAATTTAATCAGTTTACTTCCTGCACAGGGGACTGCAACTCCGTCTCTGTCCATAAACTCACAAAAAAGAAAGAATGAGGCCAGTTTCCAGCCATTTTGGACTCGGGTTTGGTCAATAACCCATAATTCTTTTTCATACATTTGTTTGTCCATCCTACACTGTACATGTGTAAAATCATTTACATGCTATGTACATAGTATCATGAATCATATTTGTATCATACTTTAAGATTGTGCTGGAGTTGATTGAATTGCGAGAACTGGGAGCTGCTAGATCTTTGTTACGTCAAACAGATCCTATGATCATGTTAAAGCAGCAGCAGCCTGATCGATACCTTCATCTGGAAAACATGCTGGCTCGTTCATACTTTGATCCCAGAGAGGTGAGACAGCCAGTCGTTATTAATAACCACAATTAATATATACTGTAGCACATGCGGAAATGGTGCTTTTCAAGCACTCTGATTGGTTAACTCGGATGTGATTAGCAATGAAAGTACTATTCACCTCCAAGCAGAGATTATGAAGTTTTGGACGGTATCCGGTCACTTCGTTCCATGGTCACTTCACTCCATCNATCATACTTGGATTATGATGCATGACACTGCAGTTGACATTGCAGCTTTGTTATGATATACTGTTACATAAAAATAACCAAAGCTAAGCATATGTATGTGTACACACATTTTTTTAGGCCTACCCTGAAGGAGGCAGCAAAGAACGCAGGAGAGCAGCCATTGCACAAGGTGATAATTTGTTTTAAAGGTCAAATGAACCAAAATTTAGACATTTTTTTCATTTGAGTCCAATATGTTCATTAAGTATAAAATAAACATATTCTGAAGTTGTAAACAAATTGGAGGAAGTGTTGCGGAGATATTGGAATGTTAAAATCACTGTTTTTTAGCCTTCATAATTGTAGAGCGGTCGGAAAAACTGTCAGAAATAAAACTTGTTGTAAGCTAAAGAAATGTAGGAAATTTGAAACTGTTTTGGTTTCAAACTCACAGTGAACTTCAGAGGAAAACCATGGTATTTTTTGTGGCAATTAACTGCACAAACAAATCAAAATCCGAAGTTAGCACCCAAAACTTAAAAGAAAATGGCATATAAAATTGAACAGAGAATGCTTTATGCCCTCAAAGCATTTGCACGTTTGTTCAGAACATTTTACCAAAGACAGCTTCGAACAAAATCTTGCGGTAAGGAGTTTGTTGGGACCCTCTTTTAAGCCTTGTTGACTTGTACTAAAAAAAGACCCAGTACCAATGATTTGTAGCTTCCCCGTTGAATGTTACAAGCCTGCAATTGGACAAAAAATGAAGAAAAACAAGCAAATAATGCCCGCCGAACAACGGGCAAACTCTCAAGTGAAATAAGGTTTGTGTTTAGATCCAAAACTTTCCCCATGAAAGACTCACTAATGCAGAAATGCAGCAATGTTGAAGACAACAGTGACATCACAAAGCAGTGTGTCTCAGTTCCATTCCTTCCGTTAAAGTGCGTGGTCATTATGGAAATGATTTTGTGAAGCCATCGGTGGTCTTTGTACTTTTTAACTTTTTTACTCCTTTTCACGGCTCAGAAAGAAAAATTTCTGCATAAGTTTCCTTTTAAATGTTTTAACATTTTGTTGCTTTAAAATAGCTGAAGAAAAGATGTCTAAATTTTGGTTCATTTGATCTTTAAATAGTTATATTCCTTTTATATTTTACATGTATGTGAATGCTATTAACATCTGTGTTACAGAATGGTTCACATGTATTTACCTTGCGTGCTCTGCCTAAAGTACAATATATACTTTGCGGAAACCTTGATTCATAATAATTTATTTCTGAAAAGTGAACTTCATGTGTAATTTTCTGCTACACATACATCTGCATATATCATACGTGTACCTATGGCACCTTGTCAGTAACACACCAGAATAACCACAGACTGTCGTTTCTTAAATCTTAGGAAAGAATTTTGTAATTTGCTAATGCATTGAGATAATAAGTATCCATTGGTTGATTAAACCTTAAATTACACTGTACTGCCATCACTTTTTGGCTTGATACTTCAGCAATTTTGGACAAGAAATGCTTTTATTGTTGAGTTGTGAATTTGGGTTCTGAACAGTAAAGCCAACATGCCACATTTTACTTCTACGAGATGAATATAGTTTTCAGCTTTGCTGAATGGAGACTCTTTGTATGAAGATTTAGCTTTAATTACATATAAGTATAACATACTCCTTGTAGCTGCAACGTATATCATAATTTCCATTTTCCCCACGTTTTCAGCTTTGTCAGGTGAGGTGTCGGTAGTTCCGCCTTCTCGTTTGCTGGCCCTTTTGAGTCAGGCACTCAAATGGCAGCAGTACCAGGGCTTGCTGCCTCCAGGAACCACCATTGATGTGTTCCGTGGTAAAGCCGCTGTGAAGGATGAAGAGGAGGAAAAATATCCTACACAGATGAACAGAACAATCAAGGTACTGGTGCTGTGATAATGGCATCCCATTTTGTCCAGTTTTTAGTAACAAAGGAAACTGCTGTCCTGTTTTGGCAGGCAAACAAAACTTAGCTAGTTATCTAATTGAAGTCGCCTACATGTAGATTAGCCTAATGCTACCAGTGGAGTAGTTTTACACTTGTAATAATTTATAAGTGTTTTAACAAATAAAGAAGCCTAAGCTGTGTATTACAGTGATAGAACATGATGGGCATTTGAAAACACGAGGGAAATGTAGAAAACACAAACTGCGGGCAAGTGTTTTCTACATTTCTCGGGTGTTCTCAAATGTCCGGCATGTTTTATCACAGTGTAGTACATGTCTTAGGCTTCTTCATTTGCTTCACGATATAGATTTTACACACTGTGAGTAGAAAAAACAAAGCACACAGATCAACAAACTGACGCAATTTAATACTACTTAAGTGCTACATGCCTCACCCTCAAAACTTTCTGCTGCTTTGCAGGGAACTCCATGATCACAAATTTCTTTAAAGAAAATGTTTTTCGCCATCTCTAACTAAAATGTTGACTAGAGGTAATGCGGTGAAAAACAATAAAACAAGCTCTTTCTATGTTTTATACTCTGATAAAACATGGGTTTTTGACCATCAGAGCAGGGGCAGGGTCCTATCTACCAGTATATTATAAAATGAAATAAAGTATGTGAAAGTGTGAGAAAAACAAATAAACTACACGTAGTGAGTTTGTAAAGCTGATGTTTTGAGCATTAGTGCTCCATCAGAGCAAGGAGATGAAATACCTAGGACATGAATGGAATGCATAATCTCCCATATAGATGCTGTAAAAAGTATGAAATATTATTGTCGGTGAGAATATTACACTAAGAAGACTAATGGATAATGCTTTGGACTCCAGAATTAACTATCCAGCTTCAAGCCCTGGCCAGGGTCATTGTGTTGTATTCCTGGGCAAACACTTACATGTAACTCTCCCCACGGTATTAGCCTGTGAGCAGGCTCACGTTGGAGCACAAGCGCGTGTGGCGTAGCCGCGAGCGCGTGGCTACCGCGGTATCTGTCCCAAGAGTGTAGATGGGCATCAGCAAATAAGTGGATAAGCTTAATGCATTTCTGGGTCACTAGGCTTTGTTAAGTAGTTTGCTTGTTTCTTTAGCTTTGTTTAGTAGTTTGCTATATCTAATATAATAATATACCCTCTCCTAAGTTTTACTTTTGGTTTTAAATTCTCAAAATCACTTTGCATCTGATTTTCCTTTGTCTCATAAGATACATTATCAATATCTGAAAAAGAAGGAAAATAATTAAGAATATGGGTTGAACTAGTTTGTAAAATATTACACCAAGCACAAAACTAGAATGTTGGTGATGTATATGTTTACAAATGAAGGCTAAAGAAGTTTAAAAATTTGTTTTTTCTTTTGATATTCTCACCTCAGTTTGGTTCCAAATCTCACCCCGAGTGTGTGAAGTTTTCTCCTGATGGTCAATACCTGGTGACGGGAAGTGTTGACGGCTTTATTGAGGTGTGGAACTTTACGACAGGAAAGATCAGAAAGGATTTAAAATATCAAGCTCAGGATAATTTCATGATGATGGACGACTCAGTTTTATGTTTGGCTTTTAGTCGTGACAGTGAAATGTTAGCTTCTGGAGGGCAAGACGGAAAGCTAAAGGTAACAAGAATTATTTTGTTATGTCTGTGATAAAGGCCTATTTACACAGGTACTTTTTGGTGAAAATCAGTTTGTTGTGATTTCCACTGCACAACTGTAAAGAACGCGTTTGTATCAGAGCATGTTCCTGGTGAAGGTATTTCAAGGATCCTTGAGGGTTTTTATGGCCCAGGAACTTAAGCTAGATCCTTAATGATCCTTGCCAAGATGTTGAAGGACCTAGGATTGTACAATTCTTGTCACGATCTTCAAAGATCTTGACCAAGATTCGTGAAGGATCTTCAAAGATTTTGCTCACAGATCTTGCAATGATCTCTCTTTTTTTTTAAAGATCTTTGAAGAATCTTTAAAATATTAATAGAAAGAGCATGAAAAGTAATTAACACTGAAAAGCAGTCTTACAGATACATATGCTTTCAAAGGAAGCGTGGTTCAATTCTATGAACCAACAGTTAACCTCTAGTAAATTCTACACTAAGTCTTTCCTTGATCACACCCTATTTTCAGGTGTGGAAGTTACAAACTGGCCAGTGCTTGCGGCGTTTTGAAAAGGCACATGCCAAAGGTGTGACCTGTGTAACATTCTCTCGTGACGCCAGCCAGCTTCTGAGTGGTTCATTTGACATGACCATAAGGTGGGTATACATCAGGCAGTATACAGTTCAGGATGCACAAATCGTTACTCATATGTTTTGTGAGGATACTTTAAATAGCTAAGTACCACAACCGAACTCTTCTCCCCACCCCCGTTGGGGTTTCACATTCGGGTTGAGGAGTGACTAACATTTCAGGGTAACAACTATTTTAAACAAATACACAGTCAGTTTGTTAAGAACATCACTCCCTGTTTGAAAAAAATCCTGAATTTGAGATCTTGTACCTTGCACCGACCTGACTGACAACAGAGCGCTACAGGTAATTCCGTGACTTGCGACTTTTTCTTTTAGTACAGCGTATAAAGGCCTCTTTGATTCGACAATTCTTTAGTTACCTTTTCCGTTCTAAATTTTGAAAATATTTTGTAGAATGCATGGCCTTAAGTCTGGGAAGACTTTGAAGGAATTCCGTGGACATACATCGTTTGTAAATGATGCCATATTCACCACAGATGCACACAACATCATCAGTGCGAGTAGTGACGGAACAGTTAAGGTACCAACTTTTTTATTAATTATTCTAATCGCCGTCGAACCAGACTGCGACAATCTGTTTTGTGCGTGAGTTTGTTTGGCTGCTGCGTCGCAAAAGGGGTCTGAAGCGAGCGCGAAATTGCGAGCGGGACTGGAGAGAGATGAGAGAAATTTCTTGTGTTTGCTAATGTACTTTATTACCCAGTCAGATAAGCCCCTTGTAAACTGACTTGGACGCCTGCCTCATCCGTGTACAACTTTGGTTGTTTCTTACCACAGCCGAACATTAGTTTCACTTTCTTTTTATAATTTCATGCTTATACTTTCTTTTTATTGTCAGCTTTGGAATATAAAAACGACGGAGTGTCTTCACACGTTTAAGCCATCAGTAGGAAGCGTTGCGACTGACATCACGGTGAACTCAGTTCACGTGATGCCGAGGAATCCTGAACAGTTTGTGGTGTGCAACAGAACAAGCACTGTACTCGTCATGAACATGCAGGGACAGGTGAGGGAGAACCAGCCACAACCAACAGACAGAATAACAGTAGGGACAATTGGGGCGACAATGACTACAATAACAGCAACAAACAGCAATAACAAACAATAAAAAAAAACTGCCACCACCCGATGTTAACACAACAACAAGCATTAAAATTGAACAAAACCATGCCGAGATTCACTTCTGGTGGGAAGCTGTCATGTCCAGATCTATTTCCAAAACAAAGCACATTTCCTCGCTCTGTGAAGAGAAACACTCAATTCCTGTTCTACATTTTACCCATTTATAAAAGCGCAATACAGTTATGTACTAACGTAGAACCCCACGAATTTAAAACTCAAGGAGTCCAGCAATTTAGACTTCTTTGCAAATCCTGTTTCGCATGACTCCCATATATATTGAATATGTATTTCTGTGTTCAGATTGTGCGCAGCTTCACCAGTGGTAAAAGAGACGGTGGTGACTTTGTGTGTTGTACCCTCTCCCCGAGGGGAGAATGGGTTTACTGTGTAGGAGAGGACATGGTCATGTACTGTTTTAGTACCATGACAGGAAAACTAGAACAGTCTTTGCAGGTATGTTTACTTGCCCAGTATGACATATTGTAAAGCGGTTTAAGGTGCCTCCCTATAGTTTTACGATCGCACGCGCGCTTAGGACGCCAGCTCAAGTAATCTGCGCGCGCTCGAAGGAAAATGTCAGTGTTTTTCGATATTTTATGACGCAGTCAACATGAGTACAAAAAGCAAAACTGACAGTGAATTTTCTCGCGCTTTCTTCGGTGAAATTCCGTAAAATTTGGCAGACTGGTAGTAAATATTTTACTTTAGTCGGAGCTCGTTTTTCAGGGAAATCTCTCAGACCAGTTTTTTCGCAGCGGTAAAAGACATAAATTTGCAAAAATCGAAAAAACTGCCTGCACAAACCGTACTTTTGTCGTGTTTGAGATTCGTATCCCACAGGATGCGATATGCTGTGAAAATTTTGGAAGATTTCACCGAAGGAAATTCAAGAAAATCGCAAATATAGCCATAAAAAAATTAAAAAAAAAACCACTTTTGTTTGAGCATTTATAATTCAAGACTAAAACCCAAAATTTTAACGGACATGATAGTAAAACACTATTTAATCATTGCTTACTACATGTAGTGAGTTTGAGAGGACTGGGTGCAAAAACGAATGCAAAAACAGCATTCAAGACTAAGACTTGTCATAAATAAATGATTACCCTATGGAGCCACCTTAAGTGTGATTTGCGTGTGACTGCCGGTTTTTTTTTTTTTTTTTTTTTTCCTTTTTGTAAGGGTAGTACTTCTTTAATCTAATACCATAGCACTCGATAGAAACTCGATAGAAACACGGTACATGTTTTCCATTTCCTAAATATCAACGCCGTTTCTCGGTTTTTTTTGGCCTACTAAATGCTCAATATTTTCTTTGCGTCGAAGAGATATTTCTTACTTTCTAGTTTTTTGTTATTAAGAGTGGTGCATAAGCCTTGTCTTGCCGTGTCCTGCGTTTAACAGCACTCCAACTAAGACAACAAAGAAGAGAAGTCTGGGGACATGCCACTTGTTTGGCAAAGAAATCCTACACAAACGTAACTGAGTTTTTTTTACTGGTCTCTGTATTTAAGGTTCATGACAAGGATGTGATAGGCGTCGAACATCACCCACACAACAATCTCATCTCTACGTACAGTGAAGATGGACAGCTTAAACTCTGGCAGCCATGAGTAACCTTCACCACAAGCTTTGTGATCAGTCTGCCTACCTTGAAAGACGCTTAACGGAAATGCGCCACCTGCTGCGCAATCAGGAGGATAGAACACAGTAAAGACAAGTCCGAGTTATTTTACGTGATGCGAGGAGTCGAGCTTGTTTCTTAGGTTTTGTAAATAAATGGCGTGCAATTTGTATTGTAACGCAAAAGCGAAGTTAATTTTCCATCACTTTCGGCACATGGTTAACAGTTTCTTATCCATAACATGTATGCCCAGAATCTATAAACTTGGCTTTTGTGTGTAGAATTGGCATTTCGTACGGTATTTTAAAAACGGACCCACAGAACTCTCGACGCTCTCTGCTACAGACGTTTGACTGTGAACTATCGGTTCAGTTTTTATCCCACGCTTTCAAGGATGTAGAATGTTGGAAAAGCCTCTGTGTACTAAAGTAGGCATTGAAGTTTTCTACAAGTCAGTAGCGTATGTGTTGCTGTAGGTCGAGGAAAAAGGAATAGAAAAGACTTAAGCGTCTTTGTATAGAAAAGAAAGGTTCATCGCAGTTAGTTGTTAAGTTACTGTAATTTGAAACTTTTGTATTATAACAACCCATAAGTTCCCCCATTCTTTTTCAGCTTTGCATTTCTACCCT